TCCTCTTCCCTCCCCTCCCATCACTTCCCTCTACCTAATCTAAGGAAACGCTCTTCTTCCCTAGTGCCCCGCACCGTATTGTGAATTAGCATTTGCCTATTAGAGAAAACATTTGGCCTTTGGTTTTGTTGGATTGGCTTATTTCACTTAGCATAGTCTCCACCTCCAACCATTTACTGGCAGATGCCATAATTTTGCTGGTGGGACTGCAAATTGGTGCAACTACTATGGAAAGCAGTATGGAGATTCCTCGGAAAACTGGGAATAGAACTACCATTTGACCCAGCTATCCTACTCATTGGTTTTTACCCAAAAGACTTAAAATCAGCATACTATAGTGACACACACACATCAATTTTTACAGCAGCTCAATTCACAATAGCTAGACTATGGAACAAACCTAGGGGTCCCTCAAAAGATAAATGGATAATGAAAATGTGGGACATATAATCTTTTACCACTTCTATTTAGTTCTTGAAACTCTAGCCATAGCAATGAGACAGATGAAAGAAATTAAAGAGATACGCATAGGAAAAGAATTCAAACTATCACTATTTGCTGATGACATGATTCCATACCTAGAGGATCCAAAAAATTCCACCAGAAAACATCCAGAACCGATAAATGAATTCAATGAAGTAGCAGGATATAAAATCAACACCCATAAATCAAAGGCATTTCTATACATCAGTGACAAATCCTCTGAAAGAGAAACTAAGAGAACTACCCCATTTACAATAACTTCAAAAAATAAAATAAAAAACTTGGGAATCAACTGAACGAAAGAGGTGAAAGACCTCTACAATGAAAACTATAGAATACTCAAGAAAGAAATTAAAGACAACCTAAGAAGATGGAAAGATCCTCCTTGTTCTTGAATAGGCAGAATTAATATTGTCAAAATAACCATACTACCAAAAGCACTATACAGATTTAATGCAATTCCAATCAAAATCCCAATGACATTCCTCATAGAAATAGAAAAAGCAGTCATAAAACTCATCTGGAAAAATAAGAGACCTAGAATAGCCAAAGCAATCCTTAGCAAGAAGAATGAATCATATTGCATCATGCCACACCTTAAACTATACTACAAAGCCGTAGTAACAAAAACAACATGTTATTGGCACCAAAATTGACTAATGGTACAGAATAGAGGACACAGAGACAACCACCTAAATACAGTTACCTCATACTAGACAAAGGTGCCAAAAACACATATTGGGAAAAAAGATAGCCTCTTCAACAAATGGTGCTGGGAAAACTGGAAATCCATATGCATCATAATGAATTAAGCCCCTATCTCTCACCACGCACATAACTCAACTCAAAGCTGATCAAGGACTTAGGAATTAGACCAGAGACCCTGCACCTAATGAAGAAAAAGTAGGCCCAAATCTTCATCATGTCAGATTAGGCCTAAACTATCTTAACAAGACTCCTATAGTGCAAGAAATAAAATCAAGAATTAATAAATGGAAGGGATTCAAACTGAAAAGTTTCTTTTCAGCAAAAGAAACAATCAGTGAGGTGAAGAGACAGCTTACAGAATGGGAGCAAATTTTTACCACATGCACATCAGATAGAGCACTAATTTCTAGGGTACATATAAAGAACTCAAAAAACTTAACATTAATAATAATAATAATAATAATAACAACAACAACAACCTAATCAATAAATGGGCTAAGGAACTGAACAGACACTTCTCAGAAGATGATTAACAAATTTATGGAAAAATGTTCAATATCTCTAGCAATTGAAGAATGCAAATGAAAACTACTCTAAGATTTTATCTCACTCCAATCAGAATGGCCGCTAGAGGATGTGGGGGAAAAGGCACAATCATACATTGGTGGTAGGACTGCAAATCAGTGCAACCAATCTGGAAAGCAATATGGAGATTCCTTGGCAAACTTGAGATAGAACCACCATTTGACCCAGCTATCCCACTCCTTCGTTTATAGCCAAAGACTTAAAAACAGCATACTTCAGTGATGCAGTCACATCAATATATATAGCAGCACAATTCAAAATAGCTAAATTGTGGAACGAACCTAGATGCCCTTCGGTAGATGAATGGATAAAGAAACTGAGGTATGTATACACAGTGAAATATTACTCAGCATTAAAAGAGAATAAAATCATGGTATTTGCAGGGAAATGGATAGAGTTAGAGAACATTATGCTAAGTGAAGTAAGCCAATCCCAAAAAACCAAAGGCCAAATGTTTTCTCTGATATGTGGATGCCGATACATAAGTGGGGTGAGGGGGAGCATGGGAAGCATGGAGGAGCTTTGGAGAGGGAAAAGGGGAAGGAGAAGGGAGGGAGCATGGGGGTAGGAAAGATGGTGGAATGAGATGGACATCATTACCCTAAGTACACGTATGAAGACACAAATAGTGTGACTCTACTTTGTGTACAACCAGAGAAATGAAAAACTGTGCAATATATGTGCACTATGGATTGATATGCATCCTGCTGTAATGTATAACAAATTAGAATATATAAATTTTAAAAAATAAAATAAAAACAAAAAAGAAAAAATGTTCTCTAAACAAATGCAATTTTGAAAACATAATTGTGACCAATTGTTGAGAATTATTAAGCAGTACTGAATAAACCACTAATATAAATATATTTTTAAAAGTTGAAGTTAGTAAATATTCTAAAAACACTTCTTCAGGTTACATTTATTTTTTTAGTTACAGATGGACAAATACCTTTATTTTGTTTGTTTATTTTTTTATGTGGTGCTGAGGATGAAACCCAGGGCCCCCGCATGTGCTGCTCCAGCGCTCTACTGCTGAGCCACAACCTCAGCCCTTCAGGTTACATTTAAAAAGATGTTTACATTTTTCCTTTATAAAGCATGAAATAAAGATCCATGATCATATTTATTTCTTTATTGTTGTTTGTTTGTTTGTAGATGGACACAATAACTTTATTTTATTTGTTTATTTTTATGTGGTTCCGGGAATCAAACCCAGTGCCTCATGCATGCTAGGCAAGCACTCTACCAATGAGCCACAACCCGGGCCTCCATGATCATTTTTAAATAATTTAAATAATAATTTAAATGATGTGTCTTGAAAGGTTATGTAGCTGAAAATCTCTAATTATATATGTGAACTTCTATTTTTGAAGAGCTCTCAGTACTAAAGCTGTGAAGAGAAACTGAGGAGGGAGCAATAAAGAGGACACAAGGGTGAAGCCATGAATGAGGACCTCAGGCTTACTGGCTGGACCCCGTTAATCCAGGGTCATGGTGGTGTAACACAGCCTGAACACTATGCTCCTCTGTAATTTTCTTAACTCTCATGTGAGTTTAAGGTGATAGTTCGCAAACATGGAAGCACAGGTGTAACTGCAGAGCTTGTTAAAAAACACAAATCTCATACTTAGGGTATCCCATATCTGAACTTTCAACTAGCTTCTCAAGGGATTAGAAATCTTACTCTGTAGGGATGCTAATTCTAGGTGAATTTCATGCAAACTTGGCTTCAAGAAATTCCATTAATTTACCCTTAGGATTATAAATCAGAAAATAAAATTGTGTAAGTTGAGCTGTAGTTTGATGATTTGAAGTGAAGCTTTATATCAATAAGAACTAATTGTGCTTGAAGCCAATTTTTAAGGAGCCCTGGGTTGTACACCGCCCCCCCCCCCAGCCACCTCCCCGACACCTCCCACCCCCACCACACACAATTGCTTAAATTCACTGAATAACATTAGATCCTCTTTGGTGTAGGTATATTCCAGCTTACTAACTTGTGATTTATATTTGTTTTAATTGGATTTTGTTTTCATTTACTTTAAAAGACATGAGAAATGACCAAGTGAGAGCTACTTGGTTAATCTGCTTACTTTCCAAATTAGAATAGAGTTGCTTGAAACATAATGTAATGAGACATTTTTTTCCTTGAGAAAAACAATAATAAAATAACAAATAAATAAAGGAAAGATTTCCATTGTCCAGAGCTATCTCTTTCCCAACCTTCCATAGGGGGAATAAAACCCAGGGACCCTTTACCACTGAGATTTATTCCTAAATCTTTTTTTTTTTTTTTTTTTTTTTAATTTTGAGACAGGGTCTAAGTTGCAGAGGCTGGCCTCAACTTGTGATCTTCCTACTTTGGCCTCACAAATCACTGGAATTATAGAAATGTGCTACTGTGCACAGTTTGAGCTGTAATCTTTAAAGAATGGGGAACAAAGAAGTTAGACATGGTTATGAACATGGCCAATGTGAACACAGAGAAGCAGAAGTGGAATAGGACAAGGGAGGCCAGGAACAAGATGGGGGTATTTCTTGCCAGGGACAGACACACTAGATAACTTCTGTGACACGGTCTCCTGTGGTCTGTTTTGAGGGTACACTGGAGGATTCTGTCCTAATTGCAAGGCAGGTTCTCTAATTCTACAGAGATTTAAAATAGGAGAAATAGATAAAAATGGCTAAATGTTCGATAAAATAGTATTGATGAGAAGTAGCTGAAGAAAATGCAAATTGGCTATTACATTGAGTATAAATTTGGAAATTCTAATTGGGTCAGTTTGGGTTTCTGTGGTTCAAGTCAGTCAATCTCTCTGAGGCTGCATTATCTTCTCAGTAAATTGGGCAAAACAGCATCTGTAAAAGGAGATATTAAATATTAAATACGAAGGTCTTACAAATGGTGCTACAGTCTCTATTGTCATCATTGCTGTTATCGCTATTTTTTTTTTTGATACCAGGGATTGAACTCAGGGGTACTCAACCACTGAGCCACATCTCCAGTCCTTTTTTTGTATTTTATTTAGAGACAGGGTCTTAGCACCTCACTAAGTTGCTGAGGCTGGCTTTGAACTCATGATCCTTTTGCCTCAGCTTCCTGAGCTGCTGGGATTGCAGGCATGTGTCACCATGCCTGGTTTATCACTGCTATTTTAAATTACAGTTTCTTTTGGTTCAGCTGCACTTAGAGCACAGCTCAGTTATAAACCATCAGTACTCACCAATGAAGAGCTGGCTGTTGAGCTGCAAGAGGAGGTGCCCACCAGTGGGGGCAGGTTGAAACTTTTGAGGGAGCTGATCCACTTGGAGAGATGCTTCTTTAACATTTCTTTCTGCCTTCACGTGATGCCATCGGTTGTCATTAAAGGGAGTGGGTGACTGTACTGTGACTTCACAAGGACCATTCCCCACATCAAAGGAAAAGGTCACTTCTGTGGGAGCTGGAAATTGTAGATATGAAAGTTTCTCAAGTTAATTCAAAAGGGAGAAAATGTAATCCTGAGTGGACATGAAAACAGTATTGTGGTATGCTCATAATGAATAGCGCAGTGATGCAGGAAAGAATTACTTAGAGTTGGTTAGGAGGGAAAAATAAATTTGAATCCTGGAGAAAGAAAAATAAAACTGATTTTAATACATTCTTTCTCAGAGTTTGTTATGGTTGAGATATGAGATGTCCCCCAAAAGCTCATATGTGAATCAATACAAAAGGGTTTAGAGGTGCACTGATTGGGTTATGAGAGCCTTAACCTAATCAATGTGTTAACCCATTAATAGGAATTAACTTGTTGGCAACAGTAGGCAGATAAGGTGTGGCTGAAGGAGGAAGGTCCCTGAGGACATGCTTTTGGGGTTTATATTTTGTTCTTGGTAAGTACAGCTCACTCTCTCTGCTTCCTGGTGCCAGGTCCTGAGCTGCTTTCCTTCTCCACACTCTTAGGCCATTATGTTCTGTCTCAACTCAGGCCTCAAGGAATGGAGTTGGCCATCTATAGACAGAGACCTCTGAAACCATGAGCCTCCAAATAAAACTTTTCCTTCTCTAATTGTTCTTATCGGGTTTTTGGTTACATCAGTGAAAAAGCTGACTAAAAAAGAGTTTAATTGCTCATCTTGCTAAGCTCTAACTAGCAGACATTTACCTATAGAAAGAAATCTAGCATGTGATCTGGCTTCATATAAATGATTTTGATTAAAGGTGATTTAAAACTTCATATAATTTAAAAAATCGTAAGTGAAATCTTTGACCATAAGAAATAAAGATTTGCACATGTGATTAAATAATGTGAGCAGTCAATTCAGTCAAATAATTTTTAATTTAGTAGAAATTAGTTATTTGACCAGTCTGGTTTAATCTCCTGATTGCACACAGAAGTAAAGTAGCACCAAACCATTATAATCTGTTGTATATCTCAGGAGATGTTGTTTCACTCTCTACCTGCTATAGTTTGGATGAGTAATTCCCCAAAGGCTCAGGTGTTATTAAAGTCTTGGTCCTCAGGGTGGTGCTATTGGGAAGTGGAACCTTTGGAAGGCAGGACCTTCCAGGAAGGTCTTTAGGTAATTGAGAGGGCATAGCCTTGAAGAGGATTGTGGGGCCTTAGCCCTTTCCTCTTTCTCTTTTTTTTCTGGCTCAGGGGTAAGCACATGCTCCCATGATGACATACTGCCCTCACTAGAGGTCCAACACTATGTAGCCACTCTATTTTGGGCTGAAACCTCTAGAACCATGAGCCAAAATAAACCTTTCTAAGTTAACTGCCTTAGATATTTTGTTATAAGGATAGAATGCTGACTTCTTTAAGATAAAAGAATTTTTTTTAAATAATAGAATTTTGGTATTTATAAAAATATACTTGATAAGGAAGCATGGCAGCAGATTAGGAATGAGAATACTAAAGGGTTTATTGCTCATTACTGAGCATTCTGTGGCTTTGTCTCAGTGGCAACTCACCGCGCAGTTCTAGTCTGATAAAGTCTGTGATACCCAGGTTCTCTACAAACACCCCAGAAGAAGCTGTTGTCTTAAAAAAGAAAGACACATCAGCACTGAGCTCTCCACGGAATGTAGGGAAATGAAGATACGAAGTCTCAGTATTGAATGAAGCTGAATTCCAAAATGAATCTGTTTATTAAAAAAAAAGAGTGAAAGTAATAGTGAAACAAAACAATAATTGCATTTTATGTGTCTAGCATTTATTTTTACTATTAAATGCATTACTCATCGAAGGAAGTCTTCATTTTGAGGTTCTTCTGGACATGAAGCCATGATATGAATATCCAAATGGTGATTACTTGGATCATTAAGATTCTGGACATGGATAACTGAGTAGAATCACTATGGAAATGGTCTGTGTTTTTAAACACAATTTTACTTTTAATTTAAGGAGTTAAAAATGACTCTTGATTTTGTTATTAATCTGCATTGATTTGTGTAACTTTTACCAAAATTGAGAGATCTCCCTCTTGATATCCCCCTAAACTCACATCCTTTCTTCCTCATCCCTTTATAGTTTGCCTTTTCTAAAGGTCCTATAAAGAGTGATGCACTTTTTAACATTTCAAGATTGGCTCCTTTCACTCAGTATAATGGCTTTGAGATCCACTCACATTGTTGTACATATAAATATCTGCTTCTTCCTCCTACTGACTTCTCTAATGTAGATATGCTATAGTTTGACCAAACTGAAGAACATTGAGCATCATTTCCAGATTTGGGAATAGAGCTGCTATAATATTTGTGTACAGTTTTTCGGGTGAACATAAGTTTTCATTTCTCTAGGTTAGTAAATACCCAGCGTGGATTTTTCTGGATCATATGGTAGGTATGTATTTAACTCTAAAACAAACTGCCAAACAGTTTTCTAGAGTGGCTGTACATTTGTCATTTCCATCAACAATGTATGAGTATTTTTACATCCTCACACAGCACTTGGCATTAGAAGTTTTTGTTTGTTTTTTGGCAATTCACATTGGTGTGTTGTGGTATCAATTTGCCTTTCCTAATGGCTGATGTTGTAGAACATCTTCTCATGTACATCTGTGCTATCCTTACATCCTTTTTGATGAAGTGTCTCCTCAGTTTGGGGAGAATCAACATCTTTCCTATACTGAGTTTTCCAATCATGGACACAGTATATGTGTCTCCTCTTATTTATATTTTCTTGATTTTTGCCTTTAGACTTTTATAGATTTCAAGTAAACATGTTTTGTTGCATGTCAGTAGGGTATGTGTGTGTGTGTGTGTGTGTTTAAATTCCTTGAGATTTTCTGTGAAAACAGTCATATAATACACACACACACACACACACACACACACACACATATATATATATATATATATATATATATATATATATGTATGTATGAGTAGAATTTTATTTATTTCAATCTGTGTATGTTTATTTATTTTATTACATAATTGCAGGCTTTGTCTTGTTCTCAATCTCAGGAGAAAAGAATTCAGTTTTTTACTATTGATTACAATGCTAGCTTTGTTTTGTGTAGATATTCTTTCTTGAGCTAAGAAAGTTCTATTGCTATTTTGCTAAGCATTTTATTATAAATTATTATGCTGCATTAGTTATCATGATAATTCAAATTATCATTTAATCAATTCATTCAGAATAAAACCTTGACATGTGATTTTTATTATCTAAACTATTAGTCATAACATTCAGAAACACTAGGACTTTCTCCCAGAGCAATTCCTTGTATAGGCCCCATGGAGAACCTTGGGTCCCATAGGCTCCACAGGATTTCTCTGTCTTAGAGGTCAGCATGGCTACTGGGTCCTTGGTGGACCTCTGATTCAGGCAACATTGGAGAGTTCTGGGCAGAGGATTTACATGACAAGACTTCATTCACACTGGTGGCTGTGCTGAGAATAAGCCTGAGTGAGCAAAGACAGAGGCAGGCAGAACATTTCAAGAATGGAACAATAATCCAGGCCAGGTAGCAAAGGAAGTGGTGAGGTGTGGTCAGATTCTCAATCCATTCTTGAAGTTAGCAACAAAAGGATTTGCTGATGAATCAGATGTGAGTAGTGATGAGAGTGTGAGAGGAAGAGAGAAGTTACAAGTGACCAATGGTCTCAGTTTAAGGGGTGATGAGAAGAATGGAATTGCCACACACTGAATTGGGCAAAGTTGTAGAAATTATTTTCTTTCTCACCCCCTGCTTTGTCAGGGTGAATCTGAAGCATCTATTAAGGCACAAGCAGAGGTTCATCATCCAGTCAGGTGGGTAAGCCTGAAGCTCAGTTATTGGGCTTGAGGTATAAAGTGGGGTTACTGAGTATTTAAAGCCAAGAGACTGATGGGAAGCGATCATTCTCATGCAGAGAAGGACAAGGTCAATGAGGGGAACAATGAACATCCCAACATGAGCCTATTGGTGAAATAAATACTGGAGGGAGGAGGGAAGGAGTAAAATGCAGACTTTGTGGTATGTTGGTGGCCTGGTAAGGAAAGTGAATTAAAAAGTGAATCATGATGGAGTCCAGTCCATTAAGAGGAAAACTGAAAAATAATAATTGGGTTTAACAATATCAAGATCACACTGGTGACCTGGAAGAGAGCAGTGTGTGGGGAGGGAAGGAGGACAAACCTTGATGGAGTTTATTTAGAAGAGACCATAAGGATGGAAATGAAGATAGAACACATGTTTTTTGTTTTTCAGAAAGTTAAGATCATCAAAGTTCCTGGGTAACATTCAGAATTAATTAATACCTAATGGGATTAATTAATACCATAGAATTCTGCCTATAATGGGCTCTGCCCTTTCATTTTCTCATTATCTTCTGGATTTTAGGCATATCAGCACTCATCAAAGTACTTGTACTTAGAACTTAGTAGGCATGTATAGGCTGAGCATACATAACCAAATAATCCAGGCTGAGCATACATAATCAAATAATCTGAAGTATGAAATGAATGAAAATCAGAAACTTTGAGTATTGACAGTACAAGTAGAAAATTTCTCCCTGACCTCATGTGGTAAGTTGCAGTCAAAATGCAGGTGAACTAAAAGTATTGTGTTAAATCAGTGCCATGTGCATAAGGTCATAAAAAGCATGAATGAATTTAGTGTTTAAACTTGGGTTTCATTTACAAGATTTCTCATTATGCACATGCAAATATCCTCAAATCCCCCCCCCCAAAAAAAATCAAAAACAAAAACAAAACCTGAAATCTAAAATGATTTTAGATTTTAGGTCCCAAGAATTTTAGATAAGGGATCTAAAAGGAATAAAAGTTTGCTGCCTTAAAATTAGTAGGTGGGATAAGGTATAGAAAGTGCTGTCAAGCACAGTGGCACATGTCTGTAATTGCAGAAGAATTGCAAATTTGAGGCCAGCCTCAGCAATTCAGAGAGACTCTCAGCAACTTGAGACCCTGTCTCAAAATAAAAAATAAAAAGGGCTGGGGACATGGCTCAGTGGTAAAGCACCCGTGGGTTCAGCCCCAAGTACTGGGAAAAAAAGAAAAGATAAAGTTTGTTAACAAAGTGACAAATTATTTCAGATGATTCCCTTAGTCTTTACATCTGTAGTGTTATTTAAATACAGCATAAAAGAGTCAGAACCCAAAAGTAATATAATTTCTCTTTTTTCTCCATTATAATTATTTTTCTTTTTTATAAGTTAATATATTCCTATGAAATACAGATTACTAAAAAAGATAGTCTTTTCATAAACCCATGCAGTTAATTTCTCATAAAACATTACCATGCATTATTAGATTCCTCTGACTGCTACTTACTGTCCCCTCGGCAGAGCAGAGGCCCCAGAGTATAAGCTGCTTCAGAGTGTGGCCGGCCTGCATCTGTCATCATAACCTGAGTGACTGGCAGGTGCTCCTTATGGGAAAGGACTCCTGTGTCACTGGTCCTAGGAAATAAACACAACCATCTCAACTTTATTCTGAATAACATAAGAAATTATAGTTTTTTATTGCAGTTCAAGAGGTATTTAGCAAATTTGTAAATACATATAGCAGGGAAATCAAAATGCTTATCTTAACACTTAGAAGCATAAGCATATATCTGAGGACAGGAGGTCACTGTTCATGCACCTGACCACTAAGAAGGGAGTGGACAGACTCATATGTGGTCATGGGTGCAGGTGTGAGGTTGCATTCTTAAAGCAATTAAGTGGCTCAGGATTCTGTCCAATTCAACCACTGTATAGAATTTAAATACAGAACTTATGCAAAGAAGAGCAATCAGCCTTCACAAACACAAACAAGACAAAAGATACCTGAATGACAAGATTTAGAATTTAAATCCTCATCATTTTATTACAATAGTCTCCATTTATCTGACATTTTCTATCTACCAGGCTTTGTGTGTTGGGTATATGGACATAAAAAACATTATCAGTGCCCCTAGGTATTCTAGTGAATATCATAAATGTAATGGCAACTATATTATTATTATGTAATGTAATAAGTGAGGAAACATTAATATCTATGTTTCCAATACAGAAAGGACTAGAAAAGGAGCCAGAGACCCTGGATGGTAAGCTGGCAATCAACAGCTTCCCCTCTGGGTAAAATAAGATTTTTCTATACTTTTTAAGCTGTTCATACTTTTTATTGAAGACTTCAATTATATTTGCATTTATAATTTATGGACAAAAAAGCTTTTTGTCTAGTTTATCTTTCTGATGTCTCATATCTATGTAGAACTAGTAAGTCTTAATTACTAACAGTTACAAAACTGTCACTTACTCTAGGATACACAAATTGAAGCACAGAAAAATACCACTTTTGCAGGTAAAAAAAAAAATCCAGGAATTTAACATGGTTCAACCTAATAGCTTTACAGAAATGAATCTGAATAATTTATTAATCATTCCAATTATATTTAGCTACCAAATATTCTTTTAAGACAGAAAAGTTAGAATTATTAAAACTTTTATTCTTTCTTAAAATTATTAATAAAGTAACTGGAAGTGCATATGGTGTTATGAAAAATAGAAGATGAATATCCTGAAATTAAAAAAAAAAAACGGTTTCATTGAATCAATTCATTTCAAAGTATCAGACTAAATAAGTAAGTCCCTGTGGTTCCTGCTAAACAGAAGCACACAAGCAGATTATAACAAGCACATCAATGTCTGGTTTGTCATAAATCAGGCTGTCAGAAAGCTAGAAGGTACCACCACATTATTGGGGGAGTCAGTCTGGGAACTTATTACAACTCTAGGGATAACCTGGCAAATTAAATCCTGTGATTGCCATTTAAGAGGAAAAATGTGTATATTAGTTATTCATTGAGGATCCTTGAATACAGAGGAACCATTCAAAACTATGCTTTCCAATGTAAGAAAAACTACAACTTAATGCTGTCTTCAACATTAACAATGTACATACAGAATTCTGAAAATCCATAAGCAAATAATAATGCTTGTAGAATATATTAGAACAGATTTTATAACAGTTTTATTGTTTGTAAAGTACTTCGGTAACTGCGGGAGTTTTAAACAATTATATTTAAAATTGTTCTCATTAGTACAGGGCATTCTCAACTGCTCATGTCTTATGCATGATACTAATTGTCATGGTCACGAGACTCCTTAAAACATTCAGTAAGATAATTTCCAAACCCTTTTGTTTTTGATTTCTAATGCTCTATAAATAATTCTTACCATTCACTGATTCAAAGGACTTATTTTTGGTGGTAAAATAGAACTTTGAGTATTTTGTGCTACTGAGAAAGCTACAGGGGGAAAACGGTAGGTCAAGTTTCATAATTCACAATTATTCCAGTGAAAGAGGGGTGGGAACCACATAATTATCATCCAGAATTACAATAATCTGGCAGCGTGGCCTCTCTATTGACTTTCACTCTTCCATCTGCGCATCACTGAAATAAAGCTTCGTGTTTGGTGTGTCAGGTCTTCCCACCTGGTTTCCATCTTCACCATAGTCCTAGCTTCTTGTTCCCCACTGTTTACATAAAGTTTAGAGTCATGTTGAAAAAAAATCATGAACAAATATTTGGCATTGGTTTGAAATTAAACCAAAAAAGCACTTGAGGGAGAGGTACCCAGTTTTCTCATGCATGGCAATAGAATCTTATTTCCATTTATTTAGGTCTTCTTAAATTCTCATGATCAAGTTTATGCTATCTTTTCCATAAAAAACTTATATACTTTTTAAAAAATCTTTATTCCAAGTTGTCATTCCTTTTGTTGATTTTGCAAATGTTTTTATAACATTTCTTATGGTATCATGTTCTTAATAAGAATCCAGTTATTCTAAGATTCAGCAGCTTTATTACACTCCCATTAGTTTTAATAATTTTATTTGATTTTTGCAATCATATTGTTTATTGCTTGTAAAGAATCTTTTTTTTTTTTTTTGCAGTGCTGGGGATTGAACCCAGGGCCTTGTGCATGCAAGGCAAGCTTTCTACCAACTGAGCTGTATCCTCAGCCCCCTGTAAATAATCTTTATTGAGTTGTTTCTAATCATTTGTTCTTTTGAATATGTATTTTTAATTTTTACTCTTCACCTCTAACCAAGTTGCACAGAGAAACTGTCCATATGGTACTAACTCTTGTAAAAATGTTTGATGTTTGTAATCAGTTTGCAAAACTATGCCATAAGTGTTAGATAAAATGATGCATCCTTTAATTTTATGTGTATAACAAATCAAGTTATTAATTTGGTTTCAAAATAGTCTGTCTTCTAATTATTTTCCACCTGTTTTACCAATTACTAACAGATGTGCATTTCAACTTTTTCCTATTGGGTAATTTGTGAATTTCTTCTTGTAATTCTTAGAATTCTGAGTTATTTCTATTACAAGTGTACTAATTTAGAACTCTTGGTTCTTTCTGGTAAAATTTAAAAGTATGAACATCTTTGTCCAAAATTAGGGTTTTTTTAAAAAAATCTTTATTTTGTTGATTTATTTTTATGTGGTGCTAAGGATCGAACCCAGTGCCTCACATGTGCGAGGCAAGTACTCTGCCTCTGAGCCACAACCCCAGCCCCCAAAATTAGAGTTATTAAATTTGCTTACTTTTGTGTATATTTTCCTAGTAAATTTTTTTAATATTCAGTTTCATTATTTCTGCATGTACAGATAAGATATGCTTGCTTTTTATTCAATTTGACATATCTAGATTTAAATGGACACTTTCGTCACACTCTTTGTGCATGACTATGATCTCACTCTGAATTTATTGTGTTGCTTGTTCTTTTTAAATCTCATTTGCTATCTTCTTTTTGATTAACTGAATTGCAAAATTGGGGTTTTTTTTCTCCTTCCCTCCTTCTTTTTAGCATACCTGCCAACATCCCACCACTGAGCTACAACCCCAACCTCCCCAGTTTTTCCTTTCTTTCCTCTACTGATTTGAATTTATTTGTTCTATATTTATTCTTTTAGAGATTACACCTAAAACTAATGCACACTGGGAGTAATTTAATGCTAATACCCCAAGTTCAAATTTCAATGATATTTTTACTTCTCAACATTCTTTTGGCTACTTTGTCAATTATGATCATCTTTGTTAACAGATTAGATGACTGCTTTCTCATGTTTTAATTTCATGTAGCTAGATGTGAAATGTAGCTATACATAAAATAGTTACATGTTCCTGGTGTCTGGTATTTATTTTGGGGCCTCTGAGTTTACAAATTTCTTTTCTCAATATTTCTTTTTGCATCCGAGACTTTCCCTTTAAAAGGTCATTTTCTTTCTTTTTGAAAGCTGTTCTTCAGAACTTCCTCCTGTGGGGTGTGCTGGCGGTAAACTTCTCAGTATCTTATTGCCTGAGAGGATCTTCATTTTTATCACTCATTTTTGAAAATAGCAGCTGAGCAAAAATTTCGAGATGGATAGTAATTTTATTTCCAATTATGAAGAGCTTGTTGTGCTCTACAGTTCTTTCCTTTCAGAAGTCTTTCTTCCATATCTGCTTCATTCAACATTTTCTTTTTCTTTTGACGTTTTCTTTAAAGTTCTTCTATTTCACCATAGTATGTCTAGATATGGATTTGCTTTTATTTATCCTGCTTGGTAGTTCAGTATTTTCTCTAGTCTGGAAATTTCTTACCTATTTGGAATATTGCCTCTTCCTAATTATGTCCCATCTTCTTTAGAAACTTCAGCCAGACATGCATTCTCTCTTCTCTGCACCCCTTTCAGGGTTCCCAATTTGTTTCTCTCTGTGCTACAAGCCACGTAATTTGGTTACATATATTAATCATTTCACTAGTCTTCAAATCATTTGTGTCCAATATTTGATCCAACAAGTCTTAAAATTTTCAATAAAAACAATAGTTTCATTTCCAAACATTTGTTTGGTTCTTTTGTAAATAGCAATTATCTCTATTAATAGTATTTGATTGTTTTCTCAACTTCATTGCTTATTTTTCAATCTGCTCATACATTTATTTTACATTTCTAATTATACCCATTATCTGGGACATTTACATTTCCAATTCTCCCCTTTGCCGTTTCTCTACCCTCCCACTTTCTTTTGTGTTTTGTAAAACTGGAGTGTGAGCTTATACTTCAAGGCATTTTATCTGTCAGAACCCTGTGATTCCTGAACGAAGGAGGAGGGCAGACCTGTAGTAAGAATATCTTGTAATTCTATGACAAGCTATTGGAGCTACCAACCTGTGGCCATGGTAATTTAATTTTGAAACGATCTTATATATTGCAATTAAAATTATGTATTGAATTAAAAATCTGTGTGAGAGTGTCTAGACATGAGTTTTCTATCTCATGTGCTAACTGGAAGATTTGTCCTTATTCACCTTTTCATTGGGTTTGAAGCCTTTTGAGACCTCTAACTGTAGGGAAAATTTAGAATTCCATATGTTCTTTTCATGGAGCCAGGGCCTTTTCTGATTTCCCTCATGTGGCCATTTAAGGATTTAGGGGGTCAAAAAACAACTCAAGATCAGCCATGGAAAATCAATTTAACTTTAAGAAGGCTGATATTGTACTTCCACTTAATGTGAAACAATCTGGTATTTCCATTTTGTTTTATTAGAAAAATAAAACGGACATAATTATTCACAGATAAATGAAAAAAATCATTTTCATATTTTAGGCCTTAGATGAATGACGTCATACACATCAAAACTTATTCTTTAACTTCTTAGGAAATTCTTTATTCTCCCTATTGTACTATCTTGTATAATATCTGCCTAAGGTACACAGTTTAAGCAATTAAAAAATTACAGTTTGCACAGGGAAAGCATGTGGAAATCACCATTCATCCTGGTCAGCATCACAGTTGCAGTGATATTGAGAATCAATGCAGTTCCCCTCTAATCCACAAGTACACTTTTGAGCATCAGGCAGAGAACCTCCCCAGTAAGTGTGTGTTTCATTGGTTCTTCCAACCCACCAGCTCACTGGGGTTCCATCTGAAAGACAAGTATGAGAAAGGTGACACCTACTTTGCCCCCCGCTACCTGCCTCCCCATATCATTCCTTTATTCCCCTCTATGTTAAAAATAGACTATTTTAGAAGTGATCACATTTTTAACTCTACAAGAGGATAATTTTTTAAAGGACTCCTGAATGTTTTAAAAAATTAATATTGAGAATTATTACTATTTATACATTATTATTTTATACATTGAACCTAAAATCTGTTTGAGATACTAAACTGCCATGAAAGAATTTGTTATACAAAATATGGTTTCTTTTACTATTTTAATTAATGTAACACTGATATTTCCTATTGTGTGTTAAAAATTCCTTAGGGACATGTTTGTGCTTTTTCTTCTACTAAATGGCTTGGCTCTTAATTTGGAAACTGCGGAGATTCACCTTCATGCTTGAGGTGAATCTGGGGTTCAGAACAACTCTGAGCCAATTATATCTGAGTCCTCCAGCACCACTTGCTCAGAGCCACCATAACTCAGCCACAGAGTCGGAGGCCACCTCAACTCTAAGGGGGCTCATCTTGATGCTAAGTCCAGGTGAGGGTGAGAGTGAGGTGACTAGAAAGTGGGTGGTATGCAAGTGGGGAGGGGCACTTCCCCCTCCATAGAGAAGCAGGACCAGAGGGAAAATGGAAGTAACAGTAAATCAGTTGCAAAGATGCTTGTCATTTTCAACATGCTCTTTCAAACCCATCAGCTGTCACCACTGGTTCACTACTGAGAATCTGAAATGGGACCTCTGTTCTCCCTAACTCACAAGCAGCATGATGGCTCCCTGTTAGAGGAGCCCTCTGCTTCTGCTGACAACATCTTAGCTTGCAAACATACTAACTGCATTCATCATCACTCAGCCCTGAACCAGTGGTTGAGGCATGTGCAAAGAATCAGTATCAACCAGCCTTCTTCCTTTTTAAAAAGTGTTGCAAACTTATCTCTAGGGAGCAGAACTTTTAACAGATATTTGATAGATGTGTTCAAAATTCCACTTTAAAAAACAATTATTCAACATTCATTCTTTCACAGATTAACAGCAAAAAACCCTTATATATATAAATGAACAATTTTGTGTTTGTATTGGAGTTTATAATTTTATTCATAAATTAGGAACAAAAGAATGTTTTTAAAAGTACAGAATGTCTTTGGCTCCATTCAAGATTTATTTGAGTGACCAAGAGAATTTGTATAGGGAATGATTTAAAAAGACATCAAAAGGAATCAGAGGCTGAAATGAAGAGGAATAAGTAAGGAATCAATGGACAAAGTATACTGTTCTACTTCCTCAAGTATTTTGGCCACAGGTACAATTGTCAGTCACCTTAGTATTCATTCACAATGTGGTAACTGAATACTTTCCCACAGCATCAACACTGTCACACTTCCTTATTAGCCACCCATGATTGTATCCTTTGAAACTTTCTAATACAAAGACCTGGAAGATGCTAGAAGACAAAAATTGTCTTTATAACACTGACATTCCCTATTTAGGCGGGGGAGGAGGAGGGATAGCGGGGATTAAACTCAGGGGCACTCAACCACTGAGCCACATCCCCAGCCCTATTTGGTATTGTATCTAGAGACAGGGTCTCGCTGAGTTGCTTAGTACCTTGCTTTTGCTGAGGCTGGCTTTGAATTTCTGATCCTCCTTCCTTAGCCTCCTGAGCCATTTCCCAGTGGCATGTGCTACTGCACCAGGCTGACATTCCCTATTGTGTGTTAAAAATTGCTTAGAGACACATGTTTATTCTTTTTTTTTTTTCTTATTCTTTTTCCCCTATGACATGGCTTGGCTCTTTATTTGGAACTGAGAAGACTCACCTTCTTGGTGCCTAACCTTTCCTTCCAGGTAAGTTGCAAAATCAAACAACAAAAATACTACTAAACTATGGCCCATCTTGCTGTGCCCGAGTCTCTACTTGTGATTAATCGAGGTATTGGTTCCTAATACTTTCTGAGAATTTGTTTCATAAAAATTTCTGGAAATGAAATGGATCTGTATCTTGAATGCTATTTGCCCCTCTAACCTGATGCTATTTTCTCCCCCTATTGAAGTTTTTCTTGATCTTCTCACTCTGCAACATTCTAAGGAAGGCTTTAGTTGAAGGCTTTGGTTGGCATTACACCTTCTGCACAAGAGCAACATCCATGTTCTGCATACCTATTTGCATTGATTGATGACACAAAGCCAATTAGTGTAATGATTTGAATGAACTGGGCTACACTAGCTGCCTATCTTATCTCTCTCTGGTTTAAAGCTTCTGAACATACATGGGTCTGTAACTGAATTTGTCTGAATTAAGTGTCTACTGAAAATTCTCCAGAGACAGCATGTAAGAAATTCACAAATTTTGAGTATCTATAATGTATTCCTTTTATTTTCTTTAGAAAGGGTTTAATAAGTTTAAAATTCTTTTCTCTGTCTTTCTTTTGTCCTAAGCCCAATAAAACACTTATTTGTGTCACTCTTGTTGTTTGAAATATTTATATGGAAAGGCAACAATCAAATAAATATGTGCAGATCACTAGAAACACACCACCCCTTCAGGTAGAAATTCTTTACTATCTAGGCAATTCTCCACTTCTGGAATAGACCATATGATGGGAATCCATGAGTTTTATTCCCAGACTCACTGGGTGATTTTTTTTTTCTGATTGTTATTGGTTAGCTAATAGTCAAAAAAAAAAAAAAAAAAAACAACAAAAAACACTACTTCATTTGCCTCATTTTCTCTGGTTAAATGGCCCAACTTTGATTGTTTTATGTCACTGATTTAATCTCTAGGAGCCGACTTTCTAATCCTTTTGGTAATATACAATCTTAGTTCAGTGATCTATATGGTAGCAATGGACTAACAATAAGTACTAGGCCTCCTAGCTCTAACTATAAATTCAATACACTACAGAGCTGTGAATAAATAGTATTTATTTCACATGCTTTGTAGATGCTGCACTACTAAGTCTTAGAGAGATGAGTGTCTTAGCTCTATAGATTCAGAACTATTAAAGAATAGTTCAAACCCACAGATGCTGAGTGACAGACTTGAAACATGACCTCAGAGAATTCTGCCTACCACTCCCCAGCATGCCTGATCAGAGAAGGCAGACCAGCCTCCAGAAAACCAAAGAAGTATCATGATGGCAGCAGGGTTGGACATATTCACAAATTGAATGGCTTCAAAGGGAGAAGATATAAAACCCATAACAGAATTTTCCAGTGTGGATTAAAAATAAATAATCAGCTATCAGCAGAATTACCTTGAGTCCTAAAAGAACTGTAGGACACCAACTCTTTTCTCTAATTAGCAATTATCCAAGATACTAGTTGCATTCAGTCTGAGAGATAATCTCATGGAATAATCACCTTCAAATAACTAAGCCATGCTGTTAGCAATCTTTTCTGAGATAAAACACAGTGAGGCAATGCTGCCCCTCATAATGTATGAACAAGGGCCTCATCAGAACATCTTTATTGCTCAGTTGCCCAAGTGAGCCTGGGAAGAGACTTCAGACCACTCAAGCTTTCAGCAAAGAAGAGCAACTACTGCCTTGGCTCTTTGTCCCCAGGGAAAAGCATCTTTGTACTTTCCAGGCTGTGACCTTGGTGCTGTGGATACAGGAGTCTCATGAATCTACACCTGCTTGCTGTAAGCTCCTGGGAACTAAAGTCTGCAATGGCTGATGACTTACCAAGGTGAGCTGAAAGCCTTGACTTCCTGCAGTGGAAAGCTACCTCCTGTTGGCAGTGGTCCGCCTGGTCAATTAGGGCCTGGAGTTGGTCCATGCTGGCCATGTACTTGAAAATCACAGGCTGTGGGCTTTCTCCATGAGAGCTTTTGACTCTGGCCAGGTGGGAGCCATTGTGCTGCACTGAAGTCCATGCAGAGTCTTGTGGGCAGAAAGGGGTTGGGAGGGAGAAAGCAGAACTTGACTAGGCTGAAATACCTGAAATGAGTATGAACATCAGAGGCATCTCTTATCTGAATTAAGGTTTTTTAATCATCAGATCTCTTTGAGATTAAGAACAGCATAATTGGAATTCTTAAGATATCAGTATTAAAATTTGAAGTTTTATTGAAATTTACATTACTGTGTATTTGCAGGAATTATCTTTGGTGAAATCTGTTTGACAATTTAGTCAACATTGCTAAAAGGTCCACTTGTGAATTTCTGTGATATAATACCACAAGTTATAAATATTTATCTTTTTAATTCTTATTTGTTATATCTTATATAACAGAAGAATGCATTATAATTCATATTATACATATAGAGCACAGTTTTTTATATCTCTGGTTGTACACAAAATAGTCACATCATTCATGTCTTCATACATGTACTTAGGGTAGGTAATGATGTTCATCTCATTCTACTGACTTTCCTACTCCTATGCCCCCTCCCTTCCCCTCCCTCCCTTTGCTCTATTTAGAGTTTGTCTAAGCCTCCCATGCTCCCCCACAACCGCATTATGAATCAGCATCCTTATATCAAATAAAACACTTGGTTTTTTGGGACTAACTTCACTTAGCATTATATTCTCCAACTCCATCCATTTACTTACAAATGCCAAGATATTATCATTTTAAGAAGCATAATCTTTTCCAGATCAAGTACCCAAGTACCTTTTTCTTAGAAAATCAAATGTTTGTATAACAGACACATTTGTGGAAGAAAAAGTCTATATAATAATGAAAAATAATATAAAATCAATCTTTTGAGGTGTTGGGGATTAAACTCAGGGTTTTGTGTATGCTAGAAAAGTGCTTTACCACTGAGCTACAGTCCCAACCCTAAAATAAATATTTTTCATTAAAATTGACTAATATGGCATCAGCAACTCATTCTGTGGTCAATACTAAAATACACAAGACATTTGAACATCTAATATACCTATTCCTGGTAATAACCACAGTGACACCAATGTCAGCTGACAAATTCTGACATATTTCTGTTACATTACCTATTTTTTAATGAAGGAAACTAGAAAAAATGAAAATACATTCCAAAATATTTATGGAAGAAAAAACTTTTGACTTCTCTCACTTTCTCCCCCAATTCACCTTACATCATAAAGGTATAAAAGCTTACTTCAATGATATAAAGCCGACTTGAAGATGCCTTAACTCTTCTCTTTTTTTTTAAATTTTTTATTGTTGGCTGTTCAAAACATTACATAGTTCTTGATATATCATATTTCACACTTTGATTCAAGTGGGTTATGAGCTCCCATTTTTACCCCATATACAGATTGCAGAATTACATCAGTTACACATCCATTGATTTACATATTGCCATACTAGTGTCTGTTGTGTTCTGTTGCCTTTCCTATCCTCTACTATCCCCCCTCCCCTCCCCTCCCCTCCCCTCCCCTCTTCTCTCTCTGCCCCCCTACTGACATTCATTTGTCCCCCTTGTATTATTTTTCCCTTTCCCCTCACTTCCTCTTGTATGTAATTTTGTATAACTCTGAGGGTCTCCTTCCATTTCCATGCAATTTCCCTTCTCCCTTTCCCTCCCACCTCTCATCCCTGTTTAATGTTAATCTTCTTCTCATGCTCTTCGACCCTACTCTGTTCTTAGTTACTCTACTTATATCAAAGAAGACATTTGGCATTTGTTTTTTAGGGATTGGCTAGCTTCACTTAGCATAATCTGCTCTAATGCCATCCATTTCCCTGCAAATGCCATGATTTTGTCATTTTTTAATGCAGAGTAATACTCCATTGTGTATAAATGCCACATTTTTTTTATCCATTCATCTATTGAAGGGCATCTAGGTTGGTTCCACAGTCTTGCTATTGTGAATTGTGCTGCTATGAACATCGAAGTAGCAGTGTCCCTGTAGCATGCTCTTTTTAGGTCTTTAGGGAATAGACCAAGAAGGTGAATAGCTGGGTCAAATGGTGGTTCCATTCCCAGCTTTCCAAGAAATCTCCATACTGCTTTCCAAATTGGCTGCACCAATTTGCAGTCCCACCAGCAATGTACAAGTGTACCCTTTTCCCCACATCCCCGCCAGCACTTGTTGTTGTTTGACTTCATAATGGCTGCCAATCTTACTGGAGTGAGATGGTATCTTAGGGTGGTTTTGATTTGCATTTCTCTGACTGCTAGAGATGGTGAGCATTTTTTCATGTACTTGTTGATTGATTGTATGTCCTCCTCTGAGAAGTGTCTGTTCAGATCCTTGGCCCATTTGTTGATTGGGTTGTTTGTTCTCTTATTGTCTAATTTTTTGAGTTCTTTGTATACTCTGGATATTAGGGCTCTATCTGAAGTGTGAGGAGTAAAGATTTGTTCCCAGGATGTAGGCTCTCTATTTACCTCTCTTATTGTTTCTTTTGCTGAGAAAAAACTTTTTAGTTTGAGTAAGTCCCATTTGTTGATTCTAGTTATTAACTTTTGTGCTATGGGTGTCCTATTGAGGAATTTGGAGCCCAACCCCACAGTATGTAGATCGTAGCCAACTTTTTCTTCTATCAGACGGCGTGTCTCTGATTTGATATCAAGCTCCTTGATCCATTTTGAAGTAACTTTTGTGCATGGCGAGAGAAAGAGATTCAGTTTCATTTTGTTGCATATGGATTTCCAGTTTTCCCAGCACCATTTGTTGAAGATGCTATCCTTCCTCCATTGCATGCTTTTAGCCCCTTTATCAAATATAAGATAGTTGTAGTTTTGTGGATTGATTTCTGTGTCCTCTATTCTGTACCATTGGTCCACCCGCCTGTTTTGGTACCAGTACCATGCTGTTTTTGTTACTATTGCTCTGTAGTATAGTTTGAAGTCTGGTATCGCTATACCGCCTGATTCACACTTCCTGCTAAGCATTGTTTTTGCTATTCTGGGTCTTTTATTTTTCCATATGAATTTCATGATTGCTTTCTCTATTTCTACAAGAAATGCCGTTGGGATTTTGATTGGCATTGCATTAAACCTATAGAGAACTTTTGGTAATATCGCCATTTTGATGATGTTAGTTCTGCCTATCCATGAACAGGCTATATTTTTCCATCTTCTAAGATCTTCTTCTATTTCTCTCTTTAGGGTTCTGTAGTTTTCATTGTATAAGTCTTTCACCTCTTTTGTTAGGTTGATTCCCAAGTATTTTATTTTTTTTGAAGATGTTGTGAATGGAGTGGTTGTCCTCATTTCCATTTCAGAGGATTTGTCGCTGATATACAGGAATGCCTTTGATTTATGCGTGTTGATTTTATATCCTGCCACTTTGCTGAATTCATTTATTAGCTCTAATAGTTTCTTTGTAGACCCTTTTGGGTCTGCTAGGTATAGAATCATGTCACCTGCAAATAGTGATAATTTAAGTTCTTCTTTTCCTATTTTGATGCCTTTAATTTCTTTCGTCTGTCTAATTGCTCTGGCCAGTGTTTCGAGAACTATGTTGAACAGAAGTGGTGAGAGAGGGCATCCCTGTCTTGTTCCAGATTTTAGAGGGAATGCCTTCAATTTTTCTCCATTCAGAATGATGCTAGCCTGAGGCTTAGCGTAGATTGCTTTTACAATATTGAGGTATGTTCCTGTTATCCCTAGTTTTTCTAGAGTTTTGAACATAAAGGGATGCTGTACTTTGACGAATGCTTTTTCCGCATCTATCGAGATGATCATATGGTTCTTATTTTTAAGTCTATTGATGTGGTGAATAACATTTATTGATTTCCGTATATTGAACCAGCCTTGCATCCCAGGGATGAATCCTACTTGATCATGGTGCACAATTTTTTTTGATATGTTTTTGTATCCGATTCGCCAGAATTTTATTGAGGATTTTTGCATCTAGGTTCATTAGAGATATTGGTCTGAAGTTTTCTTTCTTTTTTCTTTGTCTGGTTTAGGTATCAGGGTGATGTTGGCCTCGTAGAATGAATTTGGAAGTTCTCCCTACTTTTCTATTTCCTGAAGTAGCTTGAAAAGTATTGGTATTAGTTCCTCTTTAAAGGTTTTGTAAAATTCTGCTGTATACCCATCCGGACCTGGGCTTTTCTTAGTTGGTAGTCTTTTGATGTTTTCTTCTATTTCCTCGATTGATATTGGTCTGTTTAGGTTGTCTATATCCTCCTGACTCAATCTGGGCAGATCATATGACTTAAGAAATTTATCTATGCCTTCACTATCTTCTAATTTATTGGAGTATAAGGATTCAAAATAATTTTTGATTATCTTCTGTATTTCTGAAGTGTCTGTTGTGATATTGCCTTTTTCATCAGATATGCTAGTAATTTGAGTTCTCTCTCTTCTTCTCTTCACTAGCATCGCTAAGGGTCTGTCGATTTTGTTTATTTTTTCAAAGAACCAACTTTTAGTTTTGTCAATTTTTTCAATTGTTTCTTTTGTTTTGATTTCATTAATTTCAGCTCTGATTTTCATTATTTCTTGCCTTCTACTTCTTTTGCTGTTGGTTTGCTCTTCTTTTTCTAGGATTTTGAGATGAAGTATGAGATCATTTATTTGTTGGTTTTTTTCTTTTTTTAAGGAATGAACTCTAAGCAATGAATTTTCCTCTTAGAACTGCTTTCAATGTGTCCCATAGATTCCTATATGTTGTGTCTGTGTTTTCATTAATCTCTAAGAATTTTTTAATTTCCTCCTTGATGTCTTCTATAACCCATTGATCATTCAGTAACCTATTGTTCATTCTCCAAGTGATGTATGCTTTTTCCTTCCTTCTTTTATCGTTGATTTTCAGTTCCATTCCATTATTGTCAGATAGGATGCATGGTATTACCTCTACTCCTTTATATTGTCTAAGAGTTGCCCTGTGACATAATATATGATCTATTTTTGAGAAGGATCCATGTGCTGCTGAGAAAAAAGTGTAAATGCTTGATGTTGGGTGGTATATTCTATATATGTCAATTAAGTCTAGGTTA